AGGATAAATATAACAGACTTGTGAATTAAATCTTGGAATATTTGAGTGCTTCAACTTCAGATTAGGTAGACTGGCTTAATAGTAGTAGATCTTGAAACAATTGAACCAGATCGTTGAGGAAGGAACTAAATTTACTAGCAAGTGATTTCACAAGTTGATTTTTAATAGTGAAGTTATTACTCTTATTAAGAAATGAGTGCTTCTTCAACTCAGTGAAAAACTTTTAGAAATTAATGCTACTCCTGTAGATACAATGATGCTGATATATGCTAACTCACCAGAGTCAAATGGGGAAATACTATTGATGGTAAAGAGAGGACTGATGAATGTTCCATAGCTTGATGATCCAGAGAAGATAGAAAAAACAAAAGGCAGATCCCCAGAGTCTAAGGTAGAAGGAAAGAAGTGGATTCCTATAAGTCTAAAATGAAAGTCAAATATGTGGAACCCTCAAGACTCAGGACTTAAAGACTTGGGAGATTTAGGCCAAGGGCATTTTGGCCAGACCAGAGTAAGCAGTTAAGCCTAGGAGCAAGGACCCATTTTCTCTTGGACCAGGAGACCTGAACAAAGATCTTGGTGCTGGTATGTTAATGAAATCAAGCTAAAACTAAGGAGACAGGCTTTCTAAAGGGTGTGAATTCAAGAAGTCAGAACTGGGAGTGTTTGACTTGATTCCTGAGAAGGAATTCCTGGCTCTCTGTACCGTTCTGCATGTGCTGACCAAGATACAGACTGTGCCCTAAGAAAGTGTCACCAGGCCCTGGATCCATTCCAAGCAAAAGCTACTGTCAGGCCAGGCTATGAGGAAGAGATTGCTTCCATGTTAGAATCCATGTGCTGATCCATAGCAGTGGATTTGGAGACTATGAAAGCGAGATGCCTAGTGTTTCCTCATTTATGCCAAGGTGTAGAGTTGAAGCAAGTCACTTCCTATCTCTGGAATTTAGTTTCTTCCTCCACAGGTTAATATAAATCTGTGTTGTAAGAATCAACCTAAGAGCTCTGGCATCAAAATGTCTTGATAATGGCATAAATGATATTCATCTGAGTCATTTCCCTTTATTCTTCTGTTTTGCTCTTAATAATCTGGACCACAGGAATGCCCACTGTGCATTAGGTTATACTGAAACACATTCCAGTTCTTCTCAAGCCATGAGCAGCCTACTGGTGGCCTCAAAGACTTCTATTGAAGATCTGGGGCCACATTACAAGTGGAAGACAGGTGCATTTTTTCAGGTTAATTGAGAATCAGATAAGGGTCTCTGTGATGCCTATAGCCTTGATTCCATGAGAGCTTTGAGGGAAGGAGTGCATCTGGTTTTCAGCAGTTGTCTAGTTCAGAGGTATAAAACAAAGCCATCAAACTGTCTTCCAGTTTCACTTAGGATTTAAAGGGGCTCTCTGTTATAGAGGTGTAGCCACCGTCTTTCTTCAGAGTGACTGAATCCAGATTAGGAAGCTTAAGCAATAGCTAGAGCCAGGCAAATGTCAAAATTCATACAAAAACATCCTGCTGGATGCAGGGAAGGTGGTGGGATGAATTGCTCCAGAGATTCAGAGCTCATGCCACAATAAAACCCATTCTAGAGGTTTACATCTATTTTCAGCACAATCTGTTTTAATCATCTCTGCATTTAGTATCAACTCCCAGGTCCTGTGCACAGCTGCTCTGCTGTGACAAAAGTCCTCTTTGTGGCTATATAAAGTCTGTGAGCAGCTCAGAGCATGAATAAGTCCCTGTGGAACACAGAGAGGTGCCTGGTGCCACAGGTTCCTTGGTCTGTAGACTTCAGGTAGACTTCTGACCTTCCTGGCACTCAAAGGACAGTATAGGCTGAGAAGGGGGTTGGAGGCTAAGACACCTTTACCAGATGAAGGTAACCAAGATCAAGCTAGGCTAAGTTCTAAGACCTCTCCCCAGCAAGACCTCAGCTCACTTCAAAGATTTAAACACAGGAAATCCAGCAGGTAAGAGGCCAAATAGAGTCCTGCATCTCCCATTGCAGTGCACAAAGTGGCAATTTAACCTAGTCATTGAATACAGGGTTGAGTTAGGAGCCTGTGCTCCGGTTCTAACATTGCCAGTAGTCGGCTGTATAACTCACTCAGGTGGGTCACTTAACCTTTCTGTGTCTCAGTTTCCACATCTTTCAAAGGGGAATAAGAAAGTAGCTTCCTCAAAGTATTGCTAGGATAAACAAAGAGATAAAATAGAATAATCCATGTAAAAAACAATGGGAAAAAAGCAGAAAATGCTATACAAAGTATTATCATTCAATGACAAGATGCTCAAAATGTTGTCTGGTATCCTTTGGCCATACACCCTGCCCAATCACAGCTTCAAGACAACAAATTCTATCAAAAAGAAAGTACTTTTTGATAGTACTCTTATTTCAGTATCTTTGTGTATAACTAGTATCTCTTCAGTCAAGTAGATGCAGTTTCCTTTGGGCCACAATGGCAACCTTGGGACTCCTTTTTCTGGGAGTCCAAGTCATGAAGAAACCTATAAAACATCTGAAAAATATCAAGGCAGCACCAGCCAAACCCCTGCATAAACCAGGTTAGTAAGAGCCAGGGACAGCTCAAAATGTGCAGTTATAGTTGCCAGGACTTTTACTAGTCCCACTGCTCACCTACAGCCACACAGGAAGACAGCATCCCCTTGCTGCTCAGAGAGCCTTGTGGGCCCCCACAGACAGACTCCACATATTTACAAGCAGCTTGCCTACTTTCCTCTGCTCTGTGTAAGGAAGCAGAGCTGAGACTCGAAACATACTGCAGGATTTTCTGCACAGTTTCTGCTCCCACTTGGGCACTGGCAATTCCAGAGCTTCCTTCTGAACAACCAACATATAGAGCTAGCTGCCCTCTGGTCATCTAATGTAGCTTTCACAGGAGAATATTAACAGTTCAAAACCTAACTTTTTCCTCCCCTACAAATAAGCTCTTCTTCCCATGCTCTCATGAATGACAAGACAGTGAGCCTGTGTCAAGCTCCTTACTTCCCACCCCATTATCTGAGTCCAAAAGCTACATTATTTGATCATCGAAGTTCTTGCTTCTTCTTTATTCCCACTATTAATTCCATTCATCTGTTCCTATTATTCCTTTGTATTATTTTCGTCTCCCTTACTGTAGTTAAAGTCACCTTTCTAAAATCTAACTCAAACCATGTCCCTTCTAACAAGAATTCCTTCATTTACTCCTCATAACTACCAAGACTCAATCCTAACTCCACAGCATAATTTAAAAGGCCGTCCAGCCTCTCTGGTTTCAATAACTCTTACTCCCCTGTACATCTTAAGTACAAAATCAAATTATCTAATACTTTCTCAGTGTCCCAGGCTTTCCTCTCACTTCTGGATCTTCCTCCTTGCCATTTCCTCTGACTATTCATAATAGCCTCTTCCCCAACTAGCCTAACTGCTCCTCCTTCAAAATTCAGCTGAAAATCCTGTCCTCTAGGAAGTTTTCTTCCAGGTAAGGTGCATCTAACTACCCCCAATGACCATCATGTGGCACTTTATTATACTTTATTGTTATTGTTTGTTTAAATGACTACCTCTCCCACTAGACTATAGCTGCAATGTGAGAATACCTTATTCACCAATGTGGGTCTGGCACCTGGCAGAATTTGGCACATACTAGGAAATTAATATATATATTTTGAACATTGATGGCTGCATGGCTGGATGGCTAGGTGGATGGGTGGTTGGATGGATGGATGGATGGATGGATGGATGGATGGATGGATGGATGACTAGTTCAACTATAAGATGTTAAACCCCTAAGCTCCACAAAAGGCCTCTTCACAGCACCTCTGGCCTCTAGACCAAACCATTTTCATCAGAGTAGGACAGACTGGGCACAGACAAAAAGCCACTAATATCAAAGGCCTGCCCAGACTTCAGGAGTCACCAGAAATTTCCAAGGTAACATTAATTTTTTGACATCCATTATTCTTCTAAACTCTCAATTATAGATGAGAAAGACTGATCCAAGACATATACGGCAAAGGTGCTGTGGAGGGAAATGTGGTCAGGGGAAGGAACACAGAACAATTAAAGAAGCAGTGTTTTTAGGGCCAGAGGCATGCTTCAGGCTAGGAGGATACAGAATACCCAGAAGGATTTAGAGTACAGGGGTGAGTGGATGCACCAAGAAGACTGAGGCCACCAGGCCAGAAAAGGCAATACACAAAGTAGAACAAGGCTGAGGGACACAGGGAGGGCTGGCACAGTACTGAGGTTCCCGTTAGGAGGATGACAGGGGTGGGGCAGTTGATGAGTTGTGGGTCTCTAGGTTATTGCCAGAGTAAGTCCACACTTTCAGCAAGCAGGTAAATGGGTGGACAGGAAGGCCTCCAATAGTTTCTCTTCAAAAGATCCCTAGATGCTCAGCTACCTCTGCAGGACATCCCTGTGACCACTCACCCAACAAATTCCACTGATGCAAATTCTAAGGTCAACTAACTTTGGGTGGGAGGGGGGGGCACATAAATTATTTCCCCCATTTTCATAGCATAGAAGAAAAAGTTCAGGCTTAGACTTTGACAGACTTCATTTCAAATAAACCTCAGTCCATCTATCTACTAGTCACAGAGGCCTGGAGGTCAATTTCCTTAGCTATGAAGTAGGGATGACCACCTCACAGATGTGTTGAGAGGGTTAAAGTAGATAATGCTTGTAAAGTACCATGCACAGGATCAGGCACAGAGTAAGTGCTCAATAAACGGACTTTTCTCTCCCTCTCTCCTTCTACCAAAATGAAGGCCAGTTAGTTACATTTTAAGTGAGTATGTGGGAGTGGAAGTGGGAGTGGAGGACGCCTATATTGCTGACTCATTAGGACAGAAGGCACGAATCAGGGCTATGTAACATCCAGGGATGGAACAGGGACACTCCTCCCCCCGCCCAGTCATCCTCATCCAGGTCCCTGGGGTCTTGGCTGGAAGCGGGTCCTGTGTGGTCAGGGAAAGCAGGTTCCGTTAATACCTTTCTCACCACATTTGGAGAGGAGTGCTGGATGGTGCTGTCCAGTGGGGGGACACTGTGAGGGGTTTCTTCCCCAGAGGCCTGAGGTAAGGTAGCAGCGGTATTCTTATCAAGAGGGAGAGCTGGCTTTGGGCCTTCAGGTGCTGGAGGTTCATCTGTAACCTGGAGAAAAAAATAAGAATTTGGGTGGAGTTCACCGCAGAGAGTAGCAGCAGCAGTAGTAAGAGCTAATGCCCCCCTGTACTGCCCATTATCACCACCCTCACATGGGGAACTGCTTAAAAAGTTTTCAGTAAGAAAGGTAAATCTTATGTTAAACTCTTCCTACAAATACATGTTAATATGACAGTGTTAGAACAGAAACCAAACTGAGAATTCTGAGTTGTGTCATTTTCAGTTTAGCAACATAACAGTTTTCACTTACATGCAGTGTGTGATCTCCATGAACCCTAGACCCTCTCTGTCAACATGGGGATTATTCCATAGCCCTCAAAGGAACTGAGTCTCAAAGGAAGACATCTGAAGAATCATCTGATCAGTGCTAAAGCATTAATGTGAGGCCTTCCATTTTGTAATGAAGTAAAAGTCCATACAGCAGTTTTGAAAATAAAAATGTGATTACAGATTTAAAGGAGACACCACTGTGGGAAGGGGAAGGGGCTAGAACAAGCAGCTCTGATTAAAAAAGAAAAATAAGAATTAAGAACGAAAGTGTGGAATGAAACAAAGGCCCTAGAGGTACAAAGCGCACCTCTTCTATTGGTTTTTCACTGAGAAAAGAGGAGCAGCATTTATTATTCCCCAGGGATGGAACAAGACCTCTTCTGTGGCATTAGAGTCAGCAGATCTGATCCAAGACTTGACTCTACCGTTCCATGATTTATGATCTCTAGGCAAACTGCTTGCCCTCTCTGACCCTTCACCTATAAAATATGGGTGGTGATGCCTACCTAACAATTCTGTACATAGAGGAAGTGATACAATGTATATAAAACATTCCTAGTTTAGTAGGTTTCAAATAAATTTTAAGCCTGCATCTGTATGGTATTATAAACCTCCTGATCACTAGCATTTAGTGCTCCCCTTCTTAAATTTCCCCCACCACACACATGCCCCTGCCTGGGATTCTTTTTTTTTTTTAAAGATTTATTTATTTATGCATACAAGAGCTGGGGTACAGACCAGAGGTGCAGGGGTGAGAGGATTCACCAGAGACAGAGCAGGGAACAGAACAGGCAGACTGACTGAAATACACTGCTGAGGGGAGCAGCGGGTGAGTCAGGAGAGGTCTGCTTCGCCATGTGGGTTGCTCCCTGGCTGGGCAGGGATGGAACTCATGCTGTAGAGGCTGCGGATTGCTTCATAGTGCGGTGCTTAACCTCTTGCACCACCAGGGAGGTTGCCTGGGATTCTTAAGTTCATCAGGGGAAGGAGAGAGGTTACAAAGATAAAAGACAGACCCCCTTCTGACTTGGCATCTGTAGGAGCACAGCACAGCTCAGAAGGTTCCATTCATGCATAAGGGCCGTTGTCACCCAGGAGGAAAGGACTAAGCCAGGACACTGGAGATGATTAAGCTCAGATCTATGTTGAGAGCAGGTACTATGTTTTCTAAAGCTTTCCTGAGATGATTAGTGGCACACAGGGAATTCTTGAAATATAAGGGCTGAGCTCAAGGTCACCCTGCGGTAAAGAGACTTTCCTGTGCCTCCCTGTGACTGGGGAGGTTTGTTTCCTGAGCAACCCTAGGACAGGATGCATGCCCCAAGCCACCCTGAGGCTCACCTGCACGGTGTCCTCCTGGCTCTGGGACTGGACAGGTGCTGGCTGCCTTACAATGTAGTTGATCTGCCCCACGATGGTTTGCTGAAGATGCTGAGGAGATTTGGTCTGACTCAGTTGTAGGCTGGGCTGTTGAGCCTGGAGGAGAAGCTCTAGGTCCTTCTGCATTTCCTCCAGTTCAAACTTGTGGTGCATTATGTCCACATTCTGGGAACAGGCAGGCCCGGGAGGGCTCTCATGCTGACCAGAAGCCAGATGTTGGGATGGAGGTAGAGGTGGTGGTGGCTGCTGCTGGGGTGGAGGGGGTGGAGGTGGTGGAGGTGGCAGCTGCTGCTGTGGGTGCTGCTGAAAGTGGCCGAGTTTCAGCTTCTGGTGGTGGCCAAACTGGACTTGGATTGAGGGTGTCTGTAAGGTGGGCTGGGCATGGGTTCCTTGTTGAACATCCTGTGGGGGGACGATGCATACCGGCTGGGAAGTCAGTGGCTGCCCCAGCCTTTGGGATGTGCTCTCCGGCTCCACAGGGGGCTGGGTTTCCAGCCACGGCTGCAGCAGCTTTGGTGGATGAGGATTGCAGGCCAGCTCTTTCTCCCTAGGCAGCAGGGCAGAGCATTGCAGTGGCCCCAGCTGTTGGGGCACAATCTCAGAGGGCTGCCTAAAGCTGTGGGCTGGGTGCATGCCTGGCGTGGGGACCTGGCCTTTGAGGGAGGGTGAGACTGGGGAACAGTGGGAGCAACACACAGAAGAGGAACACAGTGCTGAAGGCTGGAACTTATGTGAGGGGTGGGTAAGAGTCTCCTGCTGAGCCACTGGGGACTGGTGGCTTTGATAAAAGGATGACGGTCCCTGTAAGCTTCCATAAGCAGGTGTATCTGCCCGGGACTGTTGTCCACCTTCAGTAGTTATGCAGCCTGGAAATTCAGAATAGAGAGTGTTTCCACAGGGAATCTACAGTTGTGCCCCACCTTCCTATCTCTTGTTGCTGGGACCATTATTCAACAAATCTGTCCCAGGCACAGTGATTAAGAAATTCAACTCATGATCTACAAGGTTCAGTCTAGAATGGTGCTAGAAATGATCTGTATGCACCTGTTTGGGGAGCCTGAGCATCTGAGAAATCAACCAGTTTTTCCCAGATCTCTTGATCCATTAGAGAAATCATGGACTCCCTCCAAGAGTACCCACTCTTTCAACAGAATAGTTCAAAAGAGACTTGGACCCAAAAAATCAACATTGGGGAGGAGGAGGGAGTGTGCTGGAAAGCAGCAAAGGAGGGACAGTCATCAGGGGCAAATGAGCAAGTCTCCAAACAAAGATCTGGGGAACTGTGTGTTGGGCAAGTAGGACGGAAGAGAGTGGGTAATACCAGGACAGCGCTAGGCAACAGCACCACCCTAGAAGGCCTCTGGACCCTCCTGCATGATCACCACCCTCAGTGCATGATCACTGTTGCTAGGTTAACAGCTCCTGCAGCTCATTGTTTTTGATGAAGCTTCCTTAGGGAAAGAGTGAGCTGCTTAAAGGGGATAGGTATGTTTTATTTACCTTTGGTCCCTTAAGAGCACAGTGCGGGGACTGACCCAGAAAGGTACCCACCCAAGGCCTGCTAAATTAAGTCAAAGGTGAGAGAAAAGGAAAAAAAGCCTAGATGTCATCCACTACTCTTTCAAATTCAAAAAACTTCCATTGAGATGAAGTGAAAGGCAGCAGCTGGCCATTAATTTAACAAACCTATCATTAGATTGTCAACACAGGCACAACTTCAAGTCACCTACATTCTGTGTAAAGACTGAATGCCAGCAAATTATCTCAACAGGGAAGAAAAATGCACAAGGTCATGAATTATCTGCTTACATCTCACCTTCAAAGGTGTGTGTGTGTGTAGGGTAAATGAGATGGTCAGGTTTGTTTAACGCCACTGGCCTTTGTGGCTATAACCTGTGGCCCTAAATGCAGGAGGCACTTGGGAGAGTAGGCACAGGGCACGGGTGCTTCATTGTGAACACCTGGAGTATGGTGTGCACATGCATGAGTAAGCACACCTGGGCATGGAGCCTGAGGCAATAAGGGTGGCATCATTCAGAAACAGGGATGGCTATGGTGGAACAGCTACAAGAGGAAGAGACCAAGAGAGAACACCAGAGAGAGCCCAAAGAGAAAAGTATACAGATTTGCTGAGAGCTGGGAGGCCTACCAGCCTCTCAGCGCCCTGGCCTCTCTGCCTTGCCAATCTGTGGGTTTGCCCCACAACAATTGGCGTAGAAAGAGCATTAAACCCTGAAAAAGGCACTGAGGGCTCAGGGATTCTCTTTATCCATCTGCCCGAATTGATAGAGAATTTGCCCAGTGCCTTGCTGGCACAACAGTGTGTCACATTCTCCTCCCTCCTCTCTCTCCCTACCTATTGCTGAGATACCTGTTTGTGTCCCTGGTGCCCACACAGGTATATCCTTGCATGATCTCAGACATAGCACCCTGGAGAACAGGGCTGCTATCTTGTCTCTTCTCCAGCAGTCCTTGTATTGCCACTGCTATTTAAGCTTGTCCACTTTCCTCTCCCTGATCTTTCTCTCTCTCTCTCTCACACACACACACACACACACACACAGAGTTTGCTGAATGACTTGATGATCACTGGCAGTCTCAGGGAGTGCATTCTCTTTGGCATATGCTGACCTAACCATTAATTAAGGCAGATGCTCTGTATTTGTTCTTTGCAACTAGGTAAAAGCCCACAGGGTAGGTAGGCCCTGACTCACCAAGAGAAGCCAGCTGCTTGGTCCAGAAGTTAGGCTCCCACGTGAACCTGATACTCCAAGGGGAGCCAGGATCTGTATTACAATTTGTCTCCAGCAATCGCTGCATCTGAAACACAATCTGACAAGACCAGAGATCACTTGGGGGAGGGGCAAACCTTGCACCCGAATGACAATGCTCTCTCCCTCACTCTTTGGACAGGTTGGAGGGGTCACAGCCATGGCTCTTCAGGCTCTGATCTTCCCTCATATTCTCATTTCCTTGTGCCTTTCTATCTGCATTTCCCCTTAATGATTGTCCCACTGCAGATCCCCCTTCCTTTTATTGAGGTTTTAGAACCCTTTTCTCTTGCAGGTGTCAAATGATTTGTAATTGTCCCTTAGGATATTATTTGACTGGCAACCCACTCAAGAGTACTCCATTCATTCTACCATGGCTTTGATTTATGAGCCTAATGGGGCAGGCATTCTCTGAGCTTCTCATTGATGACTTCCACCCACATGTAAAAACTCTTCCATCATAACCAACTGTCTTCTCCTTCTCTCATTCCTTTCATCTATTTCCTATCACCAATTTTCCCATTTACCTAGCTAGGACTTCGGCAAGTTTCCAATTTACTCTGCCATCATTTAGTTTACTAATGTCCCAAACAACACATTGGTCTCTTACTTCCTTGATCTCTGTCAGGTCAATCACCTCCACCTCTTTTCTCAGTTCAGTCACCACATGCAGACCCTTTTAATCATCTGGAACTGTTCTACCTATGAGACTTTAAACTACAATGACCTACCCCCTGATCAGAACTAGCTCTTGCTCTTTCTGAGTGGGTTCTGTGCTGAACTGTCCAAATCCTGCTCCATCAGTCCATTGGGTTGTCCCAGTTCCCATCATTTTTAGTAACAATATCACTAGTTCCTAATTCCCTTTCCATCACTGTAGGGTAAGGAAAAATGCCAGGCTTTTCTGCCCTCCCGCCATCAGGATAAATGATGGATCCTTGCGGTCCTGAATGCATGCCTGATGGTGGGCACCTGGAATAGGGTGTGGGCATAGGTAGATGGGATTCACCTGGGCTAAGACTGCTTTTAAGGGCGGCGTCACAGGGACGCCAGCAGCAGCAGAAGCACAAGAGAGAAGCAAAGAAGCAGAAGCAGAGAACGCCAGTGAGCCCAGATAGAATGAAGACTTGCTGGGGGCTGGGAGGCCTGCCAGCCTCCCAGCCCCCCAACACCCCTGCCTGCCATGTACCTGGTAATCACAATAAAAGCCTGCAAAACCACTGAGGACTCTGACTCCTCCTTTACCCGGACTGCAAGGGATCAGAAAACCTGCACTGTGTCCATTCCTGACCCTTACAATCACCAATGCCAGACCTTAGGTCAATCCAGCCCAGGACAGTTGTCCTCCCAAAGTCACATTATCTGGGGTCACTTCAGTGATCATTAAATTCAGTGGCACCCCCAGTCCTTTCTTGTCACTTCTTTTGACTTTCCTCTTTCACTATTCAATGACTATGAATAAAAGCTTCACTTCTCCCCTCAGTGCCACTTACCCAAAGTCTAACCCTCTTACTATCAGCTCCTACTTCACATAGGCCAAAAAGAGACCATAAAGGGCAAACTCTCAGAAATTTGCATCCCTCCTACCTCTGAACTTAACTACATTATAATAATAACTTCCCTCTTCTCCCATCTCAGAGAAAGGGAGTGCCTCTTACATTTAAGATGAACTGGTTTACTCTAGATCTCACTCTTCCTGACTTCTCAGTATTCTCACTCCTCCACCCATTTCTTCCATCTCCAACCTCTTCTCTCAAATAAGCATGTGCTAGTGTTTTCCAAATTTTTAAAAATCAGTGTCACTCCAGCTCTGTCTCCTTCTCAAATTAACTTATTTCTCTTCATGTCTGTCTCTATTCCCTCACCTCCCAGCCTCGGTGTCCCCATTCTAACTTTCGAACTGTAGGGTAAAGAAAATATCAGGCTTTTCTGCCCTTCCGCCATCAGGATAGATGATGGATCCTTGTCCTGAATGCATGCCTGATGGTGGGCACCTGGAATAGGGTGTGGGCATAGGTAGATGGGATTCAGCTGAGCTAAGACTGTGCTTTTAAGGGCGGCGTCACGGGGGGACGCCAGCAGCACCAGCACCAGCAGCAGCCGCAGCCGAAGCCGAGAAGCAGCAGAACGAACGCTAGAGAGCCCAGATAGAGTGAGGACTTGCTGGGGGCTGGGAGGCTGGCAGGCCTGCCAGCCTCCCAGCCCCCCAGCCAGCACCCCTGCCTGCCATATGCCTGGTGAACCCCAAATAAAAAACCTGCAAAACTACTGAGGACTCTGACTCCTCCTTTACCCGATCTGCATGGGATCAGAAAACCTGCCTTGTGCCCTATCCTGCCCCTTACAATTGGCGTATGTCGGCAAGATCCATGCAGACGGGTATTGGAGCCCTCCGAAGACCTGGAGGGACTAAGGAGAACAGACTTTGCCTGTGACGACGCTGGAGGCACCATGGCGGTATAGAAGATGGATACGTCCACGAGCTACAGGATGAGACCTGGCGTGAAGGAGACGCCCGAAAGGACCAGCCAACGACACCGGAAAGGACCAGCCAACGACACCGGATAGGACCAGCCAACGACACCGGAAAGGACCAGCCAATGACCCCTGAGGCAGCAGGCCATTGCTGAAGCAGGGAGAGGCCAATGGACTGATAGACTGATGAACTGATGATTTTGGACTGACAATCCCGCCAGAAGTCGGAGGACCTTGCAGGTTGATATGTTTTGGGACCCTGGGGATGGAACAGTTTTGTTTGTAAACCCCAGGAGATGGGAATCTAGGGGTGGCCAGTGGGCCTAGATGGCCAAAAGCAGCCTGTGTATGCCCAGCAGCCAGGTGGAGGAGAAAAGCCAACTAAGAAAGCAAAAGCTGGTACTGATGATAAGTTGAGAAGCCCTGAGCTGCTGTTAAGCAGCCTGGGTATGCTGAAGCCCTGTGAGAATCGTAAAATCACCTGTGGGTGATGCCCTGCTCATTCTTGAGCGAGGGTGAGGAGCTGAGGAACCTGTCCTTGGGGGACGGGTGGGGAATGTGGCTTGGGGTGGAGCCCAAGCCGAATGCAGAGTTTGGATCCCCGACCCATGTGATTGTGCAGTGGGTTGGCTTGAGAGCAGGGGTCTGCGAGTCGCATGGGTGGCCATGAAGGCCGAGTGTTGGAGCGACTGCAGACAGAAACCCTGAGGGTTGGCGATTACCCCCAACAGAATAAAATTGCCAATCCCAGAGCTAGTGCATCCTGGGGGTGGATGCTGTGTGTGCCTTGTAGCCGAGACTACAGCCAGAGAAGGCCAGGAAGCCTGACGGCTCCTGGTGTGTTATAGCAGATGCCGTGTGTGATTTCCCCTCCCTCGTATGAGCAGTGCCTTCGGCAGCAGATTTGGTGGCTCATCTGCTGGTACCAATAATTGTCTTTTGCGCTAGGTTGGGGCCCTGCCTGGACTTATTTGTGTTCTGTTGTATTTTGTTATATTGTATTTTATATTTGATGTATTTGCTTTTGTGGGCCATGGCTGCATTGTTTGTTTGCTTAGAAAATTGTGTATATATGTATAGACTGTATGGCAGAAAACCCTGAGGGGGTGGACTGTAGGGTAAAGAAAATATCAGGCTTTTCTGCCCTTCCGCCATCAGGATAGATGATGGATCCTTGTCCTGAATGCATGCCTGATGGTGGGCACCTGGAATAGGGTGTGGGCATAGGTAGATGGGATTCAGCTGAGCTAAGACTGTGCTTTTAAGGGCGGCGTCACGGGGGGACGCCAGCAGCACCAGCACCAGCAGCAGCCGCAGCCGAAGCCGAGAAGCAGCAGAACGAACGCTAGAGAGCCCAGATAGAGTGAGGACTTGCTGGGGGCTGGGAGGCTGGCAGGCCTGCCAGCCTCCCAGCCCCCCAGCCAGCACCCCTGCCTGCCATATGCCTGGTGAACCCCAAATAAAAAACCTGCAAAACTACTGAGGACTCTGACTCCTCCTTTACCCGATCTGCATGGGATCAGAAAACCTGCCTTGTGCCCTATCCTGCCCCTTACACGAACCTTCTACTTTACTGGAATTTCTTTCAAAATATCACCAGTGATGTCCTGCTTCCCAGATCTTAAGACCTCCCTCCACCACTCACATTCTTTTACTTATGCAGCAATGCTAAGACTGGCCACTTGGAATCTCAAACTCTTTGTTAGCTTCCGTGCAACACATGGTCCTATTTCTGACTTCTAGCTTTTGGTTCTCACTCTCCTTCACTCATCCTCTTCCTCTTTCTATACTGAAAATGGCAGTATTTCCCTGGGTTCCAGGCTTGTTCTTCCTTCATACACTCTTCTAAGGCGATACCACTGATATCCCAGTGACTACCACACCTCTATCTCCAACCCTGGACTTTTTTTCTGAATTGCAGAGCCACCTATCAAAACAGATTTTGGATATCTCCCAGTGGACTTTGTGTGCCTTGGTGGTGACACACACCTGAGGAGGTGTGAATCCATGTGTATACAGTGTTGTAAACCAATGTTACCTCAATAAAAGAAAAAAAAAATTAAACAAGTAGATGCCCTGCAGTCACCTTAGATTGAACCTATCCAAAAAACTCCACCAACTTCTTTCAAAATCCTTGCCCCTTCTCCAGGGCATCAGCATCCTCAACATCATCCCCAACTCCAGCTTTTCCTTAGTCCCCCACTTAAACCCAGAAAGCTTTCTATGTGATGATGAGCACACAGCTAGTATCCAGGATCATGTCTGAATCCATTACTTATGACAAAAAGCTACAAAATTTCCCAGCTGAGTTGCCTGGAGGAAGCAGGGCAATTTTAGCACCTGGGTCCTTTGCACTGTGGGACTTGCTAAAAGATGGTATCCACTTACTAATGCAAAAGCAGTGATTGAGGATTAGGAGTTGTTCTTACCAGCTCTTTGCTGAAAAGGAAAGGGATGCTAGTTTTGCTGCACACAGCCCAGTTGATGAAATTCTGCACATGCTCAAACTGACGATTGAGAACCATGATACTCTGTAACTGCTGCTCCAGTTTCCGCTTTCTCTCATTTGTAATGCCCTGGGTAGGGAGACAAGGTAGAGTCCAAGGTCCCATCTGCTTGGCAAGGATAGTGACCTGGTCTGTATCAAAGTGAACACTGATGGAATGAAATGAGACTGTAACCTTGAGAGGACAGCAGGACTGCTACCATAGGCTGCTGACAGACAGAGAAGGGAGGGACAGAAAGTGAGGTAGATTTCTGTAGGAATGGATGATGAATGAATGTCTACATCTCTTTGAAATAACTGGATGAAAGCTGTCTCAAGAATCTCTACCAAGGCTATAAGACTGTGTAGTCCAGGAAGGCAGCTGCCTTAGAGTCAGAACATTGATGGGGGTTTTTAACCGATTTTCCAGCCCTTAATTAGCCACCCTCCCAAATTTAGACTGGATATTTTGAGATGTAGGGAGCAACAGAGAGTTATGGAAACTGCACATCTGAATTCCGGTTCAGGCAGCTCTGAACAATAGGGCTAGTGTAGTAGGTGCCTGGTTTCTGACCAAGGAGAGCAGTAAACCCATTCATCTGGTCCACTTGCCCAAGCATACCTCCAACTCCTCTATGAGTCCATTCGCCTGTTTGTTCAGCTCATTCATCAGAACCATCTTGGCCATTTTGATCTGATTTTCCACCTTTCTGTGCTGATGCTTCACTTCAAAGATCCTGGAAGAAGATGGGACAGCGGCTAGTGAACCCTTCCCTACAGGCCTAGAAGGGCCAGGCTGGAAGGGAGCAAAGCATTTCCAGCGCTGGCAAGGGGCTAGCCTGTGCTACCTGTCCTCAATTTGCTTTGCAGATGTCTGCAGACTGGATTTTTTATGTGCCACCTGGGTAGTCACACTTTCCAGAAGCATCCTCTGGTTTTGCAAAACTTCTTCAAGATGTCTGCACCTAGAGGGAGTGACAGAGAAAAGGCTGAGAAGGACTGAGTCTCTTTCTAAGCACTTCAGGCCCATGTAGACTGGGACTGTAGAGAAGGAAAGTCAAAGGTACCACAGGCTCTTGGCCTATCAGGACTTCTCTAGAAAAGCTTCACAACAGGAGTAGAGAAAAACTTCAGCCCAGAAGCTGCAGGTTGGCTTTGGCAAGCAGATGATTTGGATCTACTGGGAGGCCAGAGCTCTCATGGGTAGGGAGTCCAGAGCCCTCCCAAGGCCCTCCTGAGTGTCACCCTACCTGTGTTCTTTGTGTTCCACCATGAGGCAGCTATGGCAGGTGAGCACATCACAGGTCTCACAGAACAGCTTGAGCACTTCCTGTGTGTGTAGAGGACAGTACAAGGCGAAGTCCCCAGAGCCACCATTCACTCCTGCTAGAGAAGATGAAGAAGTGGCTGCTCTTTCTCAGGAAGACCTCTCAGTTAAGCTTTGTTGAGCATCCCTGAGCTTTCAATGAACACAGGGGAGGTAACAGAGCTTAGAGGAAAGGTAGGGCAAAATGGGAGTGGCCTCTCTGAGCCACTGAGGTTCCAGGAGCACAGGGAGGATCACAGGCTTAGCCTGGATAGATCTGCCCAGATGCCCAGGAATATTGGACCATCAAGCCCCAGGCATCCCATCACCTGCCAGAGGCTGACAAAGGCACTTCCTACTGTTGCATATGGATCTCCTGTAGAATAGTAAATCCTCTAAAATTCAATCTACACCTCTACATTAATCAGGACTCTGTTATGATGGGACTGAAACCAGCTACCCAGCCTTGCCAGGCTCCACACTAAATCACACAGATCATGCCCTCTCATTCCTATGGCCATAACAAAGGTAAAAGGGCTCCCAGTTCAAGGGCTTTGGGAAAAGATTTTCAAGAAGACTGCCATTTAAAACTGGTGACAATGGATGACAAATATGCATGCCCTAATCCAGGATTTTCAGTTAACCAAGTAAATAGGAGCAAAGCATCACAACTTTAAATATATGTGAAAGGTAGGGAACTCAGCTAGATTCCATGGTAATTAAAAACTCTTCCTCCATGTACCATCTCACATACACTCTTCCACTACCACCCCCAATGGGGAGAGCCTAGAGTGAACTTAACTGTGACTGTGACTCTAGCACAGGGTCTGAGACCACCCCCAGCAGGAAAAAAAGTTCAGAAAACTATTCTCCAATGATTTTAGGATTCTGCACTCCTTAAAGGCATGTGAGCTGCTGTAGAGAGGGGGCAGTGATACCTGGAGATCCCTTCTGGGTCCGGGGAAAGAGCGGGCCCCCGGGGGCAGGGCCATGCCGGTGCTCCTCTGTGCAGGAACTGCACAACCAGCGGTTGCAGTAGGTACAGAGGATGTGTGCTGCCCTCTTCTCCTTGCACTCAGAGCAGTTCTAGAAGCAGAGAGTTCTGGAGTTATTGACAATATCCTCATCTGGGTCTGTCTGAATGAGCAGGAGACACTATAGGACATGAGTCCTGTAGGGCTGTCCCTCTACTATTCTGGAGTCAATTCTGGAGAGCTGCCTAGGAGTGACGGGGTGGGGGGGAGGTTTGGAAGGGAAGCACTCTTTATGACTAAAAGGCCTCAGGGGTTATTCGGATAAGTCCACTGATAAAGCTGAGGATACTCACATGAATAAGGCAAAGATATGCATGGAAGAATATACTTGGAAGAACTGGAGGGAGGCAGACAGTCAATGGATAATGCTGTGACAAAGGAAGTATACTAAGTGCCAAGGAAGGAGCAGGAGGTTTCCAGGTCCTTCCAGGGCATTTGAGTTGGATGGTGAATGACAAGTAGAAGTTCATCAGGCAGACAAAGGAGGAAAATGGGAAAGCACAAGCAAGAGCAGAATGTTGAATGTGCCTATAGAGAGGAGGGAGCTGCGGCTTCAGGAGTTCACAGAAAGTGATGACATGCAGCCTGGAAAGAGCAAGCACAGGTCAACACTCAGAGTTGTTTCTACTACTGGGGCTTAAGGGTCTAAGGGTTCCTAGTCCTCTCCCAGTTCAAAATGTTCATTCATTTGAATAGCAAATACCTTGCAGGACTGATACTGAAACATCTGGAGGAGATACAGAAAACATTAGCCTATCTATGTCCGAATAATATAACCCACCAAAGTGATGTGGATTTTGATGGCTTTGTCCTCAGACTGTCTTCTGATAAACCATGGTGGGAAAAAAAATGATGAGAAAAACAAGTTTTACTAATTAAACTATGAATTCCTTGAGGGTAAAGGAGATGGGTGTCTATCTCCATAGCAACCAACATAGACTCTGGCACATGTCAGACATTTAATAAAAATTAAATACAGGTAAAGAAATTGCAAATGAAATAACAGTATGAATAATTTTGTCAGGAGAGGAACCGAAGGGGTAACAGTAAGTGATGGGAAAGTTCAAAAAACCAGGAAAAAAGTAATAGTTGTTAAATATAGGCAAGATCGATGAACCTGGTTTATTCTACCTGGTGTATGAGTTACAGCTCAGTAGGACAAAAAAAAGGAAATAAAAGCTCAGTACTTACCTTTTTAAGTAAGAGCTGTAAAGAGGGGAAAAGCACCACATTTGTTTTCCCCAATTCAAACACTTTGATTCTCTTCTTGATAGAAAAATGAATGGGTGGGAGGGTGGGTGGATGGGTGGGTGGATAGATAGACAAACTGACAGAGGAGTAACAAGTCAGGGGGAGTGATGGGTGGATAGAAAGATTTATGGACAGGGGCAGGGGCATCAATTTCTTAAAAGGATCAGCTGTTTCTTTATTTGTCCTGACTTACCCTGGCCATCTTGGATTGAGCAGTAGACAAACACTTTAGAAAACATGTTCAATTACATCCCTGGTAAGGTATACTCGGTTACACCCAGGACAGATGATGAGCGCTGGGGGATGGAAAGAAAGCAGAGTCAGAGAAACATGGCCAATTACAAGAAACACAAGGCCTAGACACTAGGTATTCCAACACATAGTACCAAGGTACGTGCCAATACCACTTTATGCCCAAATGAGCGCTATGTGATGCCACAGTGTGCACTTACCATCTATGGTCTCTGGACATGACCATCCCCTTCTGTCTTCACCTGGCCCTATCAACCTCCCCTCCCCACAAGCCATGCTACTACAGGCCCAACCCTGTTCAGGTTCTGATAATTAAGGACCTTTCTGTTGCTCCTATTCTTGATTTTACAGCCCTGAAGGGTCAGCTTCCATTACTGGCTGAGTTCCAGAGGGTCAGTTTAGCCTGTGGCACAGTGCCAGACATTATGATTACCACATAGCAGAATTAGTTTTAAGATCTCAAAGCTAAAGCTTCAAGAAGGCTCTATCCAGAGAAAGGCAAGACTCTGCCTGCTCATCTAGAAGGTATTTTTCTCTTTATATAGCCATTATCTCTCAATCTACTCCTGGGGCTCAAAGATCTTTTATCGAACCTTCTCTACCTGGTCCACGTTGGGTACACTACATACACGTATGTTTCACTTGAAAATATCTTCTCTTATCCTCATTCCCAGAGGAGATATATGAGACTGCCACCTGGAAATTACAGTTCTTTTCAAGCCACCCCAAGAACAGCTAGCCTGGGATGGGTGCCGGAGCCCAGGGATGAGGAGCAACGGAAGAGAGGCTGGCAATGACAGTGAATGAAGCAGGACCACCACAGTCTCCTCTGCTTCACCTCATCAAAATGATACAATGATAGTTGCTCTGGATTTGCAGTCAAACACCAGGCTTACCACCCAGTGACCTTGGATACATCAATCTCACTTACCTCCTCTGTGACCCATTTTTTGGTATGTAAAACAAAGTGAAAGTAAGTGTTGCTGTGAGGATTCACTGAGGTAATACTTCAGAAAGCACATGACTATTGATTCTCAAGTCAAAAGATTCCTCAAATCCCAGTTATGATAAAGCAGCCTCAATTATCAACCCTCCTTGGTGATGAAAGTCAGATAATCTAAGTGTTACATTGAAAAATGATCACACATTCTTCCCTTCCATGTATCCATGCCCTTTCAATGCTAACCATTGAAAGATGGAGTCTATTCTTCACACGTGGAAGTCAGGTTGGCCTTATCTATCACCTGCTTTGGCCAACAGAACAACAAAAGTGACAATGAACAAGTCCTGAGCCCAGACCTCAAGTGACTTTGTATGATTCTGCTCTGACTATCAGAACTCAAAGGCTGGCATGTGAACAACTCCAAGTTAGCCTGCTGAAAAATGAGACCATGTAGAGAGAGAAGCTTCTTTTGTCTCAGGTGTCCCACCATAAACCAGTGAGCCCCACTGACCCACCAGCTGCACAGACACAGGCATGAGCATAGCCAAGATTAGCCCAGCCTGGCTAGCCCAGAGCAGCACCCAGAGTGAATCCCAAGCCAAACTGCAGACCTGTAGACTCATACACTAGAGTTAAGTTGTTGTTTTAACCATTAAGTGTGGAGTAGTTTATTATGCCATAAAAGCTAACTCATATATGCTTGAAAAATCAAAATCATACAAAATAATAGTTCAATACTCTTCCTTCTCTGACCTCCTCTGAAAAAAAACTACCCTCTGCCTTTGTGAGCAATGTTCTTTAATGACAGAGCTAGATCTAGAATCTCCTAGATGTACCCCTGCCTGTTAAGAATAATGGCCAGAGGTGGAGAAGGATGCTCTCTTCTCTACAGGTAAAGCCATCCAGGAAAATCAGGTGACTGTCCCTCCTTTCCACTTGGCTTCATTATCTACTCCTAGGACTGAAATGCTGCTCTAATTATTGAAAATAATTTCCATAAGGCTTTTGACTCCCTGGTACCAGATGCCCAAACATTAGTCATAATAACACGGTCTTATTAGCATAATAAATAACTAAAGAGATCAGACAAGGTCTCATCACACACCCTCTACTCCTTCAAGGCCATAAAGGTCAAAAATTCTCAGCTTGGTATTCAAGATCCTCCCCAAGTTGGCCTTATCTCTCCGGTCTCATCTCTAGCTTCATATATCATACATCCTATATGTCCTTTGTCATGCCAAATAACTCTGCTATCTCCTAAATACATCGAACTTTTGCATAACTCTGTGCTTATAAAAATGCCATCCCCTCTCCCCAAAATATTTTTTTGTTCTCCTTTTAAAATAAACTCCCATTCCATATTTTCAAGCCTATTCAAATGTTCCACATTTGAGAAGCAGGGTTAATTTCCCTCAGAATGGCTTAATTATTCCCTCTTCTGGGTTCCCACAGCACCCTGAATGTCCTTCTAATAGAATACATATTACACTGCATTTTAACTATACAGTCATATGTTGCACACAAAAATAATCCACATTTGCTGCTAAAGAAAATCGCACTAGAGGATTTTTTGAAGATTGGACAAGTTTGGGGATGGGATATTTCTTGTGCATTTTTTGCACTCACAGCCATGGAAAGAAGTAAGAAGACATCTGGGGGTTTTCAGAGTGATGGGGAAGCCAGCCCAGGATGTTAAAGGAATTATGAGTAATCTGCAGCAGAGGTATGGTGCTTCAAAAAGGCTATGAACTAGGAGAAGTGGGTTCCAGAACCAGGACTGGAACTATGTGTGTAACCTTAGGTAAGTCACCCTCTTTCTCTGAATCTCACTTCCTATATCCTTTGAATGAAGGGACTAGGAAGAGCAGGGGAATAGGGAAGAGCACTTTTCCTCTACCCACTGCAGTCAGTCTTAGAGATAATCCCTGGGCAAGATGGAAGGGACTGACAGTCAAACAGCAACCTGAATACTCCCTTGTGAGGAAGTCAGGGAACAGGTGGCTGAGGGGAGGCCTGGATTTAACAGCTCATCTCATCTGAAGAGGGGCTGCTGCAGCAGGCAACAGAGATGGAGAGCTGTGGCACGTCCCAGGGAGGCTGTGGGGCCCAGAGTGGACACAGAGGACAGGTGCTCTCTTTTAGTCATAATACTTTTTTTTTTTTAAGATTTATTCATTAATGCATACAAGAGCTGGGGCACAGGCCAGAGATGGGGGCAGGGGGGTGGTGGTGAGAGGATCAACCAGAGACAGAGTGGGGAACAGAACAGAGAGACTGACTGAAATACACTGCTGAGGGGAGCAGTGGGCGAGAGAGGAGAGGTCTGCCTCGCCATGTGGGTTTCTCCCTGGCCAGCCGGGGATCGAACTCGTGCTGCAGAGGCTGCAGATTGCCTCACAGTGCAGTGCTCAACTCCCTGCACCACCAGGGAGGCCCTCATAATACTTTTGTCCAGAAATTTGTGTCTTACCTTCAAAAGGTCCCTAGCCACCGTCAGGCTTGAACTTTTTTTTTTTAAGAGTTGTCCCCTTTTTCAGTGTGGATACCAAAACAAAGTCTTAATTTAGACAATTGGAATACACAAACTCTTAGGGCTACAGATGTATGTAAAACCACTGACCATCTACTTATAATATTTAACATTAACTTGGTTATGAACACATAATTAAATCACATATTACACAAAATTATTGAAATACATTTTTCCCCTATTTGAATTAATCAAGCTTTCATTTCAGCTTTTATTTCAGATACCAAGACATCAATTCTGAGAAATAGTTACCCAAGACCCAAAGCCACACAACCATTCCCTGAAGAAGCGAGGCTTCTATTTCCAGAACAAAGAAGTCACAGGCACCAGAGGTGCTCCTGGAGACCTGAGGGCCCAGAAGAGGAGCTCTGAAAGCTGAGCATGTTCAGTCCATCTGTCACAAGAGTGAGTACTTTTGGTCCCCAGGAGGTGTGGGACAAATTATTCTTTTACCACCAGTCCCTGAACCAGACACTTTACATGTGCTATCTCATTTAATCATCAAGCCACCTCTGAAAGGTACCATCCCCATTTCACAGGTGCAGAAACTGAAGTTCAAAGATTGTACAAAGCAACGGCAGAACTATTATTGGAACACAAGTCTGTCTGCCTCTAAAGTCCAGTCCTTTCTACTATGCTATGCTTCTAATTCAAGTGTCTATAACAAAGTAATTTTCCTCTAATTAACTAGATAATTTGATTATAAGAAAATATTCTATGATAATGATCAGACTCTAATGGTGGCCTGCTCTGGAATCCAGTAGGAGTTGGAAGCCAATCCTACCTGTGCTTAAAGTTTTAAGAAATGAGATCTTTGAGAAAGGGAAGTGAAATGGAGCTTTTTGGCCTGAAGGAAAAAAATCTGGGGGCAGTGGTTCTCATATTTTTTAACATTTTAATCATATGGGATGCTTCTAAATATTCTGATGTTTAGTCCATATCCCATTATCAATTAAATCAGAATTTCAGGAAGAGGAATCTAGGCACCAGTGTTTTTTTTTTTTTTAATTCCCCAGGTGATTACAACGTACAACCAAGTTTGAGGACCACCCTTAGAGGGGAACCCCTTACCCCCGTGGCCAAGCTTCATAGCTCTGTTCCCTGTATCAGGCTGCTGAGGTTTGCCCAGTCTGCTGGGCCCCACAGCTTCCCTGAGATCTGCTTGCAACATGCCATGATTCTCCATCTCTGCTGTTTTCAGATAAGATGAGCTGTTAAATCCAGGCCTCCCCTCAGCCACCTGTCCCCTGACTTGCTGACAAGAGTGATAGTGAGGTTGTCTTTGATACTGCAGGCTCACCCAGTTTTAAAGATGCTAAGAAGTTAAGATACTATGAAGTTAAGCATATCACTGTGATGTATTTTCCCTCTAATACAACAAAGAACAACTACCCAACAGACAGAATAGTATCCTGATCCCTAGGTACAGTGGGGAATGGTGGTGAGCTAGAGATACATTTTTCCTCCCCTAACTCCCCACTCTACAGAAGAAGCCGTGAACAGGCTTAGGGTGCAGCCTGAGCTTTGGTACCATGATGACTGCTTCTGGGGCCTAGAAAGTGTGTGAGGCCATGACTCAGTAAGGTAGCAAGAAAGGGGGTCAAGACTAGGTAGTCCACCCTTTAGTCCACATAAATAGCAGCACCCACACAACCTGATTACTAGGAGGCTGGTGTGGGAGAGAAATCCAAAGACCACCCTCTGAAAGCTGGAAGTGGGTCAGGTTGCCCCCATAAAGGGACACATACACTCAGGCACATAAGCAACCCTCTGAGGGTTAAAAAGCCCTTCTTTCTAGCTCCTGTTTGTGAAACTCTATAGCTGACACCCAAGCTCTAACTCCAAGAGAGCAAAGGCATCCTCCGAAGCAGCCTGATGCTCCTCTACCAGTTCTCACCTGTAAACCAAAGCTGGACAGACCTGGCTCACACATTAGCTTTTCAACTGTTCATCTAGCCAATTTTCTCACCATACAAATGGTTACATGGCAACCCAGAGAGACAGAGAGAAACAGAGAGACAGAGAGACAGAGAGGGACTTAGGTCAAAACCTCAGAGCCCTGTGGTACTTTGAACCACTCAGCAATCCCAATTACCTCTGCAGTCAAAGTAAGACAGTCTATCTCCTTATGCTTCTGTCAGTCACTAAGCAAGAAGAAATCCTCTTGGCAGGCTGGCCATCCTCACTAACCATTCCTGCCCTCCCACCCAAGAGCAGCCACCATGAGCATGGGGCATCAGCTAAGAATCCCACCACACAGTCCCTAAAGCCTTACTCTAGTTCAGACCCCACAGCAGCACCTCCTTCAAGAAACATGTTGCACCATCTCCCCCAGATGCCCAGCTCCTGCTAGAAAGAGATTTCCATCCTAAAGTGACTGTGGCTCCTGCCCCTGGCTGCCAGCAGGCTTACCTGTGGCCCCTGCTGCCCTGTGATTAGAGCAACACCTGGGAGAGAAGTCAGAAGAGCGACAGGTGAGACCACCACAGGTCCCAGAGGATGGTGCTTATCAAGCACCCAGGAACACCCACCCTGCACACTGCAGCTGCAGGGCCTCTGCCTTGGGGAGCTGGGTACTGGGTGGGGTTGGGGGAGCAGCCTAGATCCTCTCCTCCTCTCTCTGATGCATCCTCAGCCAGGGATGCATTTCTCCAGCTCACCTGAGATGCTCCTGTAAGAAAGGGCTTGGTTGACTCCTCCTGTTCCTGTTTATCTCGAAGCTCTGCAGCAATTTTCCCAAACTGAACAGCAAGAGGGAGACCTCAAAGAGGCGACTCTCTTCCTAGCTGCATCTCCCTCCTAATCCTCTGGGTGCCTCGGAATAGAAGCTCAGAAGGAAGAAAACGAGATTTTCAACTTTCAGGAACTAGCTCTGTCGCCCTCTGCACAGCTCAGGAGGCCATCACTCTCAGCTTTTTAGGACTCGATCCAAAAATCCTTCAGCCCTCCATGTTCCCCAAAATGACAGTGCTCATGTGTGGCTGGAACCTGCCCCGATCCGGCAGCTCATTTAAATAGAGCTCATCACAACAACAGTGTTGGTGGAGAAGTGAGTAGCTGCAGGGCCCTGGGGACCCCCTGTTTATACGTAGGAAGAATGATGCAATCTGGGTATCAAAATAGCAATCCAGAATGGAATAACAGGCTCACGCAGCAGCGGTGCCTGCACAGCCAGAGCTCAAGTTGACACACTCTGTCAGCCCCACACTGCTGCAGCACGCAGATGCCAGGCACACACTCTCACCGCATCATTTTAAAAATCAGCAGGAGCCCAAGACATCCCTCTATGCCCCCAGCACTGACAGAAGGTGTGGGGGTGGGGTGGGGGAGGGCTTTCAACAGACATTAAAATCTCTCTCCTACACACTCACCTGCTCCTGCCACTTCACCTGAAGTCCTTATCCTGTGACGTCATAGTCAGTTGCCATAGTGACCAATTGTCCGTCACAAGCAGAGGATTAAGACTTCAGATGGAGAAGACACACATTTACGATGCACAAAGGTCCTGGGAGGTGTCCCTTGGCAGCTAACTCTGTTCCTCAGGGAGATACAGTCGCAGACAAGAGGGGAGAAAAAAGGAAAAGAAAAACAGGGTCGTGATGGAGGAAAAACATTAGGATGGGGCATGACTACAAGTACCAGATAACTGCAGGAGCACAGAGCACGGCATAAAGGGGGAGTGGCAGGGAACAAGCTTGGAAAGATTGGCAGGAGACTAAGCTCCCAAAGGGCCTGAGTGCTAAGCAAAGGAGCTTGACCTTTATGCTAAATGCAAAGGCAGCCCCCACAAAACTCTGGAGAATGACAGAGCTGGACTTATCTTGATGGACTAGAGGTAGGGGGATCAGGGTGGAGGTTTGTCTAGTTGAGCATTAATGGAATCCTGAATGAGGGTAGAAATGGAAAAGGGACAGGAGAGATGTTTCAAAAAGAACCAGTGGGATATGACCAAAATGATGTTGGGGGTAGTGGTAGTATGTGAAGAAAAAGAAGCAAATAGGGGTCTCCCTGGTGGCACAGGGGTTAAAGGCTCAGCAATATCAAGCTATCACCAACAACTGTGGCATGAGTTTGATCCCCGGTCACAGAACTAACCCACATGGTGCAGCAGACCTCTTCTGTCTCACCTGTTGATCCCCTCAGCAGTGTATCTCAGTACATCTACCTATTCTGCTCCCACTCTGTCTCTGATGAATCCTCTCACCCCTCTCACCCTTCCCAAACACATACCTTTGGCCTAACCCAGTTCTTGTATGCATAAATAAATAAAAATAAATCTAAAAAAAAGGCAAATAGATGTGTTGTCATAAACAGAGACAGGTAATAAGAGAAAAGGGTAGCTGCCAAATCCCACCTCACCTATTTAAGTCATAATTTATCTGGTAGCCATAGCCTCTTAAGATCAAGCCTCAACCTGCCTTGCCTGGACCACTTCTCCAAATTTGGAGGGTTTGTTACAAGTCCTAAGTCTACCAAATCCAAACCTCTGGAGTATGGGTGTGGGATCAGGAATCAGTATTTTTAGCAGGTTTCCCAGAACGACTTTTTAAAAATACAAAATTGATCATACTCCACTGGCCAAAATCTTCAATGACTCTCACTGTCCTATGGAATAGTTTAAATTGATCAAGACCATTCAGTTTGGTACTAAATTTCTCTTCCAGGTCTCATCTCCCAATTCTCTCATTCAAGCAATCCTTTATCCCAGTCTCCTGTTCCCACTGCCTTTTTTTATCCATGTACCTCGTCCTAACACTATTCCCTACCTGTGATTCCTTTCCATATTTTTCTGGCTTCTGCATAGTTATTTCTAATTGGTAATCCCCACCCATCCTGCCATCCCAATCAAATCTACCCAATTTCTCCAGACAGAGTCTAAACTATAGCCCACCTGCTTTTGGAAATAAAGTTTTACTGGAACACAGTCATGCCCCTTCATTTCCATAGTATCTATAGTGGCTTTCATGCTGCAATGATAGAACAGTTATGACAGAATCTATATGACAGGCAAAGTCCAAAATATTTACTGTCTCTCTCATTACAAGAAACATTTGCTGATTCCAAGTCTAAAGCAATAGCTACTTAAATTGTCCTAGCTTCACCCTTTGAAGTTCAGTTCTGGTAATGGGTGTCCTGCTTGTTCCCAAGTCAACCCCGATCTGAATACTGTAGTTTTCACAACTGGATCACATTTGAGCAGTTTGGGTAGGATATTGCTAACAAGGAAAGGTCATTTCAGGAAGAAGGAAAATCATAAACAGAGAACTACTGAAGTCAAAATGTGAGGTTTCTTGGGGGAACACTGGTAAGGCCAGCACATGTAGAGGAATAGGAGATGTGGCTCTAAAATTAGTTTGGGGCCAGACTGGGAAGAACCTTGAAGACCAGGCTACTTCTTTTCTGAACTGCAACTAATTGGGAGTCTTTAGTTGGCAAAAATGCAGGCCCAGAATAAAGAAGTGATTAGGGTTGATGCTAGACGTTTTGGGAAGATAACTCACAGAGGCAATAGGTGAAGTAAGGTGTGGCAGGAGTACCCAGGGACTATAGGGCAAGGCCAGGCAGCACCTAAGCCAGGAATCAGAATCTGGTCATGAGAGCCAGGTGATCAGCTGAGGCTGGGGATGGACAGTCCATGATCTTCAGAACCCATGCTCAGGAGTCAGCCCATTATGAAACAAACTTACTGTGGCAAGAAATTACCCACAGTGGTACGAGGAAGGTATAGGTAGGATGAGAACAGGCTCATGTCATCTGATAGAATGGCACCTCTATTCCTTTTCACTTCAAACCTCAAGAGTCAATTTATGGACTGATGTACTGACACTCTCAATGCAAAACCAGTGTCCTCATTTCCAATGGTGGGGGAACAAAAGACAGCACACTGTGGGAGGTTTGCAGTTCCTACTGGCCCTCAAGTTCAGGCAAGTCCTGGATTGGCAGGGAAGGAAGCTAGATTTCTTTCTTTTTTTTTTTCTTCTTTGGCTCTGTAAGTAGCCGCTTATAAGACATTAAGCAGGATTCTAGACTTTTCTGGACTTCTAATGCCCTATTTATGCAATGAGGGCTTAGAGATAAGGGTCTTTCCTACTGCTGGTCTCCACAACAGTCAACTATAGCTGGCCTCATGTGAATGAGAGAGTTCCAGCAGACAAGAGGCCCAGACCAGGGCCATCAATAACAACTACCTCAAACTCCCTCTCAGCAAATTTGTTCTAGCTATAACCTTTCAAGTAACACTGGCAGCAGCAAGCACATCCCCCCAAACACAAGCTGCCTCCCTCCCATTCCCAGGGGAATTGCTCTCCCAGTAACAGGTACTGTTCTGAGGTGCCAGCGCTACTCCCAGGGCCCTAGAGAGCCAATTAAGGTGAGGAAACTGTTCATGAACCAAAAAGCCATCCTGATGATAGGGCTCCGAAGCTCTAGTTTCTGCACCTGCTGCACACCCAGCTCATCCCAGCTCAGCAGGTCCACCCTCCACCTGGGAGACTTGGCCCACTGCCCACCACAGACCCCACAAGGCTGGACACACTCACTGTCCAGCACCTGAAACGAGCAAACAGCAGTCACCTCACCTGCCAGACTCCTGAAGCTGAGATCCCACCCACTGCCTCCCACTCTCACCCCAGGCTATTAGAGCCCCTCCAGCTGAGGTGCTCATTAAGATAGGAGTCATTTCCCTCTCTGACTCTGAGGTTGTAGCATCTTGCATCAGTGCCCTCTCTTTGGATCTTCCCAAAGCCCCAAGGCCTGCCCACTGAGGGACAGAGATTACTCCCCCTTTCAGCATTTATAGTTTATAGGGAATAATCTGTCACCTGTCACTAGTTTCAAAAAGCATGAGGTTTCGTGTATACTTGGTGTTCTTAGAGCTCTTCAAGTCCAGCCCTGAAAGCCAAAGAAGACCCAGTATCGCCCAATTAGTCAGGGTAAGACCTAGTTCCAGGCATCATGACTTCTAGACCACGGTTTTACCCACATTTCTACTGCATCATCCACACTGATGATGAGAAAAGCAAGATGCTAAACACGTAGATTCTGGAATTTAAATCTTAGGATCAAGGTCTTCCAGCCAGAATTTGTTTCCTAGTAGATTTGAAGAAAAATAATAATGTTCCTCTTATTTACATGGGAAAGGATCTATCCTACTAATTGCCTTTCTCCCTAAAACAACAAATAGAACCATAAGAGATCTAAGAATTTGGAAGACAAATCCAGCACATGGTAAATGTCACTTTCAGGCATGCCAGCTTCCTTCAAAGCTTGCTACATTTATTTATTTATAAATGTTGGGACTCAATGCCCAACTTTCCAGATAGAATTTGCCCTGAGACCATTTTAATTAGGCTTAAAATCAAATAGTCCCAAGCAGATATTCTCATTAGTTGAAAATAAGAATTGGCTGCTTGACATTTCCAATACCCACCTTTTCTGTACAAAGCCTGCAGCTCCAGTCATCCTACTGCCTGGCTACACCATGGAGTATGCAGTACACCACTGTCTTTGTTCTGGTCCCCATCATAAGCTTTTTTTTTTTTTTTTTTTTTTTTTATTATAGAGGCATGTTTATTTATTTATTGTTTGTTTGTTTGTTTTGTTTATACATGCACTGGGTACAGTCAGAAGCGCGGGAGGGTGAGAGAATTCACCAGAGCCAGAACGGGGAGCAGAGCAGGCAGAAGGACCGAAGGACACTGCT